CTTCCTACAAATGACTCAAGTTTGCCTTTCTTTATGGCTGAGTAGTACTCCATGGTGTGTCAGTACCACACTGTCTTTATCCGTTCATCTACTGATAGACACAGAAGCTACTTCCAAGATTCAGCCATTGAGAGTTGTGCTTGGCTTCCAGCTTGGAGCTGGGAGGTTCAGTCCATGGTCTGGGGGCCCTGTTGTTTTGGGGCCTGTGATGACAGACACATGATGGTAGGAGCAGAGCTGTTTGCCTCAGAGTCAGGAAATGAGAAAGAGAAGAACAGACTGGGGTCACCTCCAAGGACACCCCATGACAGGAAGACTGACAGATGGGCCCCACCACCTCCCGATGGAACTAAACTAGAGACACAGTGGTTAGCACTTGGCCTTTAGGGACACTCACCAGCCAGCCAGTACCAACCGTGCTGTTCCTCCCGAGTCGGTTCACTGTTTAACTCAAGCCTCGCCCTGAGCACTGTCGGCGGTTACCGGCTTGATGAGACTTTTTTCTAATACGCTTAGAATGAGTCCCGGACGCACACCCAGGGCCGGATCCATGTTTGATAGTGCTCAGGACGCCGTCAAAGTGTGCACAGCGAGGTGGAGACAGAGTCCTCATCCACACCTCGCCTCCAGCCTGAGCCCCTGGGAGGTCGTTTTGGTCTGACATCCTCGGGACGGCATCCTCGCCTGGCACCTGGAGGCCGTAAGGTGCAATGAAATAAATCAGACACAAGCTTACGCATCGCAGGGCTTCTCTTACCCGAGAAACCCAAAGTGTAAATAAAGAGCAAGATAAAAGACATAATAGGAAGTAAGAGATAGCTCTTTCCCGCTCTCCTTTTTTTTGGTACTTTTGAGATAGGTTCTCACTATACAGGTTCAGGCTGGCCTTGAACTCACTTATGTCACTCACTTATGGGCCTGGAACTTATGGTGATCTTCCTGCTTCAGCCTCCCAATTACAGGTGTGTGCCACCATGCCCAGCAAGGTAGCTCTTAGTCAAAGGGGAAGGGGACCAAGAGAGGGAGGGAGGGGGAGAGGGCAGAGGATGCAGAAGGGAATTGGGATGTGTGGTGTACTTGTGCGAACTCCACACAGGAATGGAAACACTACTGCACATGTGTACTAATAAAAAGAAATCATGATGTAGTACTTCGGTGCCTATCAAGTGCACAACCAGAATGGCAATGTCTGTAGCAATAGAAGTTGACAAAAGTGTAGGGGGAATGGCCTTAGATACAATAGGAGTTAAAAAAAAAAAAAAGGATGAGATCAGATCCTGAGGCCTTTTCTTGCCAGGAATAAAAAAGAGCAAAACACTATCACAAGTGGTTCCTTGGAACTGGCGTGACTGCTGGTAGCTGCCGTCCTTTGGAAAAGACTCAGATTCCACTCGTTTCTTGCGAGTCAAACCCAGGCCCCCCACGCAGGTCCCCAGGGACAGCTGTACACGGGCCAGGCAGGCAGTGCTGGCAGTGCCTCTGAGGCTGCAGTGGCGTCCAGCAGGGCCATATTTAGGCATGTCTGTCTGTCTGTCCTTCTGCCTGCCTTGTGACCCTCCATGCTGGCCTTCCCACCCTTGGGTTGGTGCAGCAGCCTCATGTGGCCCTGCTGGGGCTCAACAAACCCCTGTAGCTTGGCTGTGGCCTTGGATGGCCCTGGGAGGCCTGTGGGCTCTGGTCAGGTACCCAGCAGGGCCTTCCTGGAGCCTTTGTGCTTGGCAGCCTCAGCCTGCTGCTGCTGGGTGCTCCAGGAATGGATGCCTCGCTGCCAGGGTCTCCCCTGAGGGCACAGAGGCCCCCTGAGGAGACCTTCTCCTCTCCTCAGTTACTTCCTTTATTTTTTCTTTTCTCCTACGCAGGTGCTCACCCCTGAGCCAGCACCCATCTCCAGTTACTTCCTCCTGTCTGAACTTTGTCCGCTCTCCCTGGACCATCTGTCCCCGTTTCCAGTGCCCCGGTAGCATAACATGGTCAAAAATGTTGTTGTTTTTCCTTTAAGACAGAGTTTCACTATGTAGTTCAGGTTGGCCTTGAACTTGTAGCAACCCTCTTGCCTCAGCAGTGCCACACTTTGTTTTATGTCCCCAGAGACCAAGATGCTGTCATCCACAAGACAAAGAGCTCTACCCCTCTGGCCCCTCGGTGCCCTGAACCTGGTGTCCCTGGCACCCATGGAAGGGATTTGCCTGAATCTGGCAAATGCCACTGAGCTCCTCGTTGGCTTCTAGTACCCTACATGATCACTTCCTTCATGGCCCTGGCAGATCCCGATTTAGCTCCCACTTCCCACGGCCCACCCCTGTGACTCCCGACACAGGCGTTGCTCCTTTCTGCCCTGGGCCCACACTGTTGGGGTGCCCTTGGGAGTGGGTTCTCCCTCCTCGGCCAGTCATGCAGCCCAGGAACAGGACCCAGAGCCCCGTGCGTAGCTGGCCAGCGCTCACCACGGAGCTGCACCTCGGCCCAGATCAGCCATCCTGACAGGAAGCCTCTGTGCTCCCGGTGCCCGGTTCAGACTCCCTAAATAAAACTGTAGAGCTCTGAGGACACTGGCTGAGGCCTCACTTCCCCAGTGCTGCAGAGTGAAGGGGTGTTGAGTGCCAAAGGCCCAGGGAAGGTACAGATGGGCCCTGATACCTGGAGGTTTCAGCGCCAGGGCCAGGGGCCGCAGCACGCAGCTGCTGGTGACAAGTTAGGATGCCTCCCTGGGGCCCTGCTGCAGCATCTCCAACTCTACCACTACTAGCATCCCGTGTACGCTTCAGAGCGCCCCCAGCGTGGGGCAGGGTTCCCTACAGCAGAGCCAAGGCTGTGCAGCCCTCCTGCCTCCTGGGATTAGGCCCCGTCTGCAGACAGCGGCACACCTCCCCGAGCCACCCACCACTCTGTAAATCCGTTCTGCACCTGTGTCTTGGGACCCAGTGTGGCTATGTGCCGTGAGGTGACCTTTAGCTGTCATCTGCAAGTGTGGGCAGTGACATCCAGCCTTGACAGTCTCAAGGCTATATAAGGGATCACTAATCGTACTTGCCCTCTCTCTCTTTGTTTGTTTGTTTCTTTCTTTCTTTCTCTCTTTTTTCTTTCTTTCTTTCT